TACCCCATTTCTGGAACCCTTCATTCTCTGCCCCTTCCAACACCTACCCCATGGATGAGGCATGGGCAGATCCACTTTTTCCACCCTTCGGTACGGCGAGCCACACCCAATCAAACTTTGGCATCGCACATAGTGTGGATGTTGTGTCTGACTTTTTACTTTGATCTGTATTATGTACAGCGGGAGAGGCAAACACCACAACTACCATGCCTACGGTGCGGGATGTGAGGGAGGAGGAAGAGGAGCAGCATGACGTGGTGATTGACATTGATGATGAAGTTCCGGTACAAGTTGGAGATGTCCAAGTGGAGGTCGATCTTGAGATGGGAGGAGGGAGTGGGCCGCCCACTGCCACATCTGGCAAGGAGGACGGACACACACACAAAGGGTAAGTGTAGGGGAGCTGACGTACTGGAAAAAGCGTACCCAAGTGAAGTGAAAGGTAAGAAGTAGATCATCTTCATGCAATATAACCCATGATGGGTTTTGCTAGCCCAGGTAGTACCCTAAAGCCCAATATAATTGCATCCCTGCCCAACCCTGGCAATCCTCGCTCCCGCTTCATATCCCACTCCACAATTCAATATCAGATTATACACCCCATTTCTCCCACTCATTAGGAACTTGCACGATCATGTGATCCCGATCGAGACCTCGCCCGGGCGATGGCCGGCACACCCAACACTTGACGGACTGCGGGATGTCGTGTGTTTGCTGAGCCCAGTACACATCATTCGATTCTTCATGGTTGTGACGCTGCATTGCACCATTGGAGGTGGATGTGGAGGCTCGATGAGGTTGCGCTCTTGGAAACTATTGTGGGCTGCATTTGGAATGGTTTGGAGCTGTGATAAGTGTGGAAAATCGATGTCGCTGTGGTCAGTGGATCGTCAGCCACTGGGTTGCACGGCCGACAAGCCTGGAAGGAAGCAGCTCCCGTTGTTACAACGCTTCCTTGCGTCTTTTGCTCTAGCGGGTTTCGGATATACAGCGCTATCGGAGGTCGGTAGGAATCTCGGTCTGCCCATCCCATGTAAGAGAACCTTCTACAGGTACATGAGTGGGGTAGGTGGGCTATGGGAGAAGATCATTGAACATGCCAACAAGAGCATGGAAGTGGTGCGTGCAGCTATGTTAGCTCGGAGAGAACGTGGATATTGGGTGTGTGTTGACGGAAGGTGGGGCCAACCACGAGAGGCGGAATGGTGCAGTGTTGCATTCATGGATCCCAGGTCACGTAAGATACTTCACTGTGTGACGGTGTCAAGATCCATGCTAAAGGTATCGTCGACGGAGCTAGAGGGTCAGGCATTCTCTAAGGGTCTAGAGGACCTCGAGAATTGGGGGTTTCCGGTGAAAGGTATCATCAGTGATGACGGCAGCAGTTTCAAGGCCGTAATTATGAAGACAGACCTCGAGCACCAGATGGATGTGTGGCACAAAGGTCGTTCGTTATCACGGAAGTTTGTGAAGCACTTTGTGAATGCACGAAAGGCCGCACTATCTACCAAAGATGCAAAAACCGCTGAGGATTTGTGGGATGTAAAGCTCGATGATCTCAGGGCCTGGTTGCGAGATCATCCAGGTCATGGCCTCAAGGGTCTACACAAAGCGCCAAAAAGGGAATTGATTGGTGCTGTTTGTCGTGTGCGGGGCTGGACCTTTGTGGATCTTTCCGGCGATAGCTCGCCGTACTTGTACCCTGAGATGCGGCGTGTAGCGTATGTGCGGAGTGGGCGCAGTAGAGGTTCGACCCGCACAACGTCTGATGGCACGTCGGTTGGTCCTGATGGGCGTTGCATGATGGAAGGTTTGTCACGGGAGGCAGTGGATGTGCATGTTGCACAATCTCAGCATATTGAAGGCGGGGATAAACGGGTCACGGACGAAGCGCTAAAAGGGTTTGTTGCAATTGATATTCTGGATGATGGTATTACAGAGAGGCCAGCTGTCCCAGGAGGGGTGGATTTACAGTACTCCGACGTGGGAGAGTTGTGGGGATACGATCCCCATCCAGAGCATGGAGTGCGGCCAAGCTCTGTGGTGTCGTTCTTCCTCATGCAGGCAGCTGCGTCAAACCATGCCGATGCAACTCGTGGCATGACGGGTGCCGCGACACGCACCAGCTCAACTTCGGGACCGCCAGGTGAGGACCGAGCAAAGCAACTACTTGATGTATTTGTTTTTCCCTTTGCTTACATCCACCGCTCTACTTGGATACAATATGTGTGCCTACACGTTGAATATATAATATCAAAACCCCCATCCCAAATCATTTGTTTCCAAAGGTACAATTGGTGACAGCACCACGGTGGGAGGTGAGGGCAACACTACGCCGTCCGGTCAACCACGACGCTGGGTGAATAAGCGACCCCGTAGTGGGAAGAGGGGAGCAGACGATTCGCCTGAGGAAGACGGCGAGGATCAGGGAGGGGTAATCGAGAAGATGACAGTGGCACAGCGATTCAGTGTACACTTCCATCACGTGATGGCTCGTTGTGCTACACTCTGGCGAGCGGGCACGCCGATGTCGGCTCGGGACGTTGCTGAGGAGATTGCTGTTGCGGCCGATCATTGGGCTGGAGATCACTCACGCTGTGGGCGGGGTTCCGAGAGGCCAATATGCGTGAGAGAGAATTGGGGTGCTGAAAGTGCGTTGTATAAGCCTGGCTCCCGCACGCACATTGCTTTTAAGAAGTGGTTGAGTGAGAACTGTGGGGCCGACGAGATGAAACCCTACGTGAGTGGGGAGTGCAATTGGATGAATGAGTCATTTCATTCATTGATCTGCAAGTACGCTCCGAAGCGCACCTTGTTTCGAGGAAGCATGCAAGCAAGGGTTGGATTGGCTGTAATGCACTGGAATCATTCTTTGGAGCGAGAGGTCCGAGCCACCAAAATCAGAATGCAACGTGTAAGTAGGGTCCGACGAGGTAAGACCTCCCGCACCTTAGGGCCTATGGATTGGACCTGGGTAGATGACATTATGCGAGATTGGAATTGCATGACACTTGACCCTGTGACGAGTCCAATCGGAGCCAACGCCAGTGCTGCTGCTCCTTCCACTCCCCAACCACCCGACAAGCGAAGGCGTACCAACACCAGTGGCTCATCTGAACCTCGACGTACACTCTTTGGTAAGTCCCCCCATATGTCACGAACAGGCAATTTGGTGCATTATACATGCAAGTAGACAGTACATTTGCAATGTTGTGAGTGTGCATTTCATACGCCGTTGTGACCATTGACCTCCATTTGTGTTGTTTGCAGGAGACGTCTCGAACGTCAGATGATTCAACCTGGTGGGCAGCATGCAACATTGGGGGCTGCGCGAGTATGTGGGTTCCATTCTCACCCATTAAATACCCAAACCATTTTCGCCATATGCTTCCAATCCATGCACCTCCTCTGCCAATATTTCCAATGCTCAAACCCATGCTTGCTCCTTCCTCCCTCCACGTCCTTTCTTTTGCCCCTCAGCATCAATAAACATCTGCCAGAAGGGGTTTTTCGACATGGACCGTCCCGGGTACGTCACAGTGTGTTTGCTGAGTGTGGATTATTTAGGAGCTGAGGGGGAATGACACAGTCCTACCGGAGTATGGATTGGTTCGAAACAAAGCCATCACAGTTCTGGAGCCATCACAGTTCTGCTCGTTTTGTCTGGGCATATGAGGCTATTCTTTGGGTTACCCTGTCTGAACACCCTAGATATTCTTTGGCTTCCCCTACATTGCTCTTTGTCTCTTTCACCTCTGCCTTATCCATTCCAGTCGACCCCGCTTACTCTACACTGCACCATTTCTCACTTGCAGGTACGCCATTGGTGGGCTCTGCCCAGGGAGCAGACATGCACGACTGTGCCTGCCCCACGCGCTCGGCCTGCTTCAGCACGGCCCTGATCCCGGAGGGCGTGTTGAAACTCAAGCATGCCGCCATGGCCCATGACCACCGCCCAATCGACGCCTCCTGCTCCTGCCTGGTGGGTCGCAAGGCCCCTCTACTCATGTCTGAAGGGTTGCATTGCCTGCTGCCTGCTGCGCCTTCCTGCCTCCCCCCCCCCCTGCTGCTCGGCACCTTGACTTCCACCCCCCACACCACTCCCATCTGCACCGCACCACGCCTCTCTCCCTCCAGGCATGCCGTAGCTTTTCACGGGTGTATCTGCACTCACTCGGTTGAGGTCTTTCAGGTTCAACCATCCACCGCATCCCACCCCAGACTGCATTCCCACTTCAATTGTATTACCTCCCGCCCTCCCATTTCTCTCCTTCATCTGTGGCTTTTTTTTATCGGAGGAGGCGAGCACTCTGCCGATATTTTCTCCCCTCGCCTTCTCATCGACAGAGTCTCACCCTCCCCCCCATGCCCCATCCAGCAGCCCCGACACCATCAAGTTCTGCCGCACCACCACGCCACCTAACACCACTTCCTAAACCCCCCATTCTTTCCTTATGGTTTCCCTCGTCTCCGTGTCTTTTCTTCTTGCACTCTTGCCAAGGCACCTCATCCACGTTTCATTCTTCTCAATTACAGAGGCGCGAAGTGTGATGTATCAAAGTACCGCTCTTGCCTTCCAATATTCATTCTCCACGAGCAAGTTTTGCTCTGTCCTTTCTCGCGCATATCCCTACTTCAACCACCATTCCCCTCTCCCTTTTCGCTCCCTATCCCCTCCCACCCATGCCATGATCCCGCGCTCTCTGGAATGGTTTTCAGGTTTGCAGGAACCCCCTTTGAACACTGCATCTTTGGCCGCCTTTTAGCTACCTTTACAATGAAATGTAAAAAGTCAAATGTGACTGAAACGTTAGCACCAAGCCATGTAGCTTCCACAGGTGCATCAAAGACGCAACGCTATGTCTCCCCATGCCTACGTTTTCAGCCTATCTGCCAACCATATAATGTCAGTGACATGCGAGTGTGTAGGGCAGAGGAATGCTCCTTATGGTCACTAGGTCTCAAATACAAACTTGCTTGTCAAGGTAACTATCATGCGTTTACTGGCTATCACCATAATGACTACGCATGAACCCAACAATCCCGTCACATTCAAAGTCGACCACATCAGGCATCATCTTATCATAGTCGTTGAACCACACCACGTCGTCCTTGTCACATCGCACGTAATACCCCTCCGTGTCCGGCTCTGGGTACAACCCAGGGAGAAGCAGGGTGAATGCCAGAGAGGGAAAGGAAGAGTAAAATTGTAAGGCAGAACGGGTAGAGAGGGGGAAGAAGGGTGTACGGAAGATAGGGGAAAGGGGGAAGCAGGGCGTAAGGCAGAGAAGGAGACGGGGAAAGGGAAGCAGGGTGTAGGGAAGAGAGGGAAAAGGGGTTTAGCAGGATATAAGGGGGAGAACGCATGATGGGGGATGAAGGGTGTGGGGTAGAGAGGGGAAAGGTGGAAGAAAAGAGTAAGGCAGATAGGGGAGAGGGTAAAGAATGGTGTAGAGAAGAGGGAGGAAGGGGGGTCAGACAGAGTGGGGAATAGAGCAAGGCGGGGTGTAACGCAGAGAAGTCATGGTGGGGGAAGAAGGGTGCAAGGATGTGAGGGAACGGGGGGAGGATGGGCGTAAGGCAGAGAGATGGAAAAGGGGGAAGATGGGTGCAAGGAAGAGAGGAAAAGGGGGGTAGCGCGGCATATGACAGAGAACGCATGGTGGGGGAAGAAGGGTGTAATGAAGAGAGGGGAAAGGGGGTAGAGGGGAGTAAGGCAGAGAGGGCAGATGCGGAAGAAGGGTGTAGGGAGGAGAGAGGCCTGAAGTGGGAAGCAGAGCGTAAGGCAGAGAACGGTAGGTGGGGGTAGAATGATGTACGGAAGAGATGGGAATTGGGTAAGAGGAGTGTAAGGCAGAGAGGGGAGAGGGGGGTTGAACACGGGGGCATGAGGGGGAGAAGGGGGGGGGAAATGAGAAGGAGAAGGGAGGGCAATGAGCAGGATAAGGGGCGGGTATGAGAGGGAGCACGGTTGGAGATGAGAGGAGAAGGGGGGAAAAGGAGAAGGAAAAGGGGTGGAAAAGAGAGGGAGAAGGGGGGTTGAATGAGAGGGATACAAAGGGGAAAGGAGTGGCAGCACGCGGGGCAACGAGAGGGAGAAGTGGAGGGAACGAGCAGGTGAAAGGGGAGGATACGAGAGGGGGGAGGAGGGGGGGGGGGGATCGAGGAGGCTCATAAGGGGAAATGAGAGGGAGAAAGGGGGGAGGTGAGCTTGAGAAGGGGGTGGGGAATGAGAGGGAGGTCGGAAGGGGAAACGGGGAGGTGGGAAGGGGAAACGGGGAGGTGGGAAGGGGAAACGGGGAGGTGGGAAGGGGAAACGGGGAGGTGGGTAGGGGAAACGGGGAGCCGGAAGGGGAAACGGGGAGGTGGGAAGGGGAAACGGGGAGGTGGGAAGGGGAAACGGGGAGGTGGGAAGGGGAAACGGGGAGGTGGGTAGGGGAAACGGGGAGCCGGAAGGGGAAACGGGGAGGTGGGAAGGGGAAACGGGGAGGTGGGAAGGGGAAACGGGGAGGTGGGAAGGGGAAACGGGGAGGTGGGAAGGGGAAACGGGGAGGTGGGAAGGGGAACGGGGAGGTGGGAAGGGGAAACGGGGAGGTGGGAAGGGGAAACGGGGAGCGGGAAGGGGAAACGGGGAGCGGGAAGGGAAACGGGGAGCGGGTAGGGGAAACGGGGAGCGGGAAGGGGAAGCGGGGAGCGGGAAGGGGAAACGGGGAGCGGGAAGGGGAAACGGGGAGCGGGAAGGGGAAACGGGGAGCGGGAAGGGGAAACGGGGAGCGGGAAGGGGAAACGGGGAGCGGGAAGGGGGTACGGGGAGCGGGAAGGGGATACGGGGAGCGGGAAGGGGGTACGGGGAGCGGGAAGGGGGTACGGGGAGCGGGAAGGGGATACGGGGAGGCGGCTAGGGGAAACGAGGAGGCTGGAACGGGTATTGAGGCGGCGAGAAGGGGAAACCGGGAGGCGGGGAGGGGTAATGGGGAGGGGTAATGGGGAGCGTGAAGGGGAAAACAGGAAGGTGGGAAGGGAAAACGGAGAGGTGGGGAGGGGTAATGGGGAGCGGGGAGGGGAACGCGAATGGGGGAAGAGGAAACGGGGAGCGGGAATGGGAAACGGGGAGGCAGAAAGGGAATTGCGGGGCGGGAAGGGAAACCGGGGAGGCGATATGTTCGTGAAGGGACACGGGGAGGGGAAAAGGGGTGGCGGAGAGGGGATTTGGGGAGGCGGGAAGGGGATACGGGGTACGGGAAGGGGAAACGGGGAGGCGGAAAGGGTAAATGCGGGGCGGGAAGGACAACCGGGGAGGCGGGAAGGGGTAATCGGGACCCGGGGAGGGGAAAATGGGTGGCGGAAAGGGGAGTTGGGGAGGCGGGAAGGGGATACGGCGTGCGGGACGGGGAAACTCTGAGGGGATACGGGGTGCAGGGAACGTGAATTGAGACGGCGGGAAGGGGAAACGTCGTGGCAGGAATGGGCAATGCGGAGTAGGAAGGGGAAGCGGTTGAGGCGGGATGGAGAATTGGGGAGGCGAGAAGGGATAACGAGGAGGCGGATATGGGGGGGACATGCAGACGTTTCAGCAGTCGTTCCGTACCTCAACCTCGCCTCCCGGCGGCTAGAACGGACACGTGGTCGCGTTTTTGTGCGATCAGTCTGCGTTTGTGCTCGTGCGCGTTCGGCAGTTTGGGCCGCGTCGCCCGCGTTCACGGTGGCGTGAAGAGGAAACGTGTTTCCCGGAACGCGTCGGACAACGAGGCGAGGCTGTAGGAAGGGGTCTGGCGGCGCCGTTATGTTAGAGGGCGGAAATGACTTCGGTGCGGACATGTAATTACGCCCACGCGTCTAGGCTTGTGACACCTTCCTGTTTTCCCCTTCACGCTCCCCATTACCCCTAAACCCTAAACCCTAAACCCCTAAACCCTGGAACTTGGTAAAATGAGCTCGCTATTTAGTCACGACCTGCTTAGCATCGGGTTATGCTGCCTCTAGAGCGTAGTAGCGTAGATCTGAGAGTGGAGGGCATTTCGTATACTTTTGTCGACCCTAAACTTTTGAATCACCAGGGAGTGCTGGGTGCCGGGGCAATCTCCCTCCCTTGTTCAGCGAGGTTTTGTAGCTGTAATGTGGTTACCAATATTTCAGATTTCAGATTCGCAAGATGGTGGGAACAGCCTTAGCAGTGCTGCACGGAGCCATCCCCCCCTCTCTGCTGCTGCCCTCCCTCGCCCGCCACTCCCGCATCGTTCTTCCCCTCGCCTTCCCCCTCCCCCATTCCTCTGGCACTATTGGGCACGTTTCGAGTCGTTTTGAGGCGGTTTGAGGCGGTTTGGAGGCAGTTGAAAGGCGGGTTTGATGCACCAAGAAACCTCACCACTTCCTCTCCTCCCCCTCTCCTTGTCCTCCCTTGATCCGCCCTTCTTTCCAGATTCGCAAGATGGTGGGGACAGCTCTGGCTGTTCTCCATGGTGCCATCCCCTCTTCCAGGCTGCTGCCCTCCCTGCTCACTGCTCCCACACTTTACTCACTGCCCCCCCATTCAACCCGTTTGCCCCTCCCTCTTAGATCCGCAAGATGGTGGGGACAGCTCTGGCTGTTCTCCATGGTGCCATCCCCTCTTCCATGCTGCTGCCCTCCCTCGCCCGCCACTCCCGCATCGTGCTGCCCCTCGCTCCGCCCCAAGGCCTCCTATTGGCCGACTGCTCCTTCATGCCCTTCCGGGCGCCAAAGCTGCCCGGAAACAAATCCTCCTCTTCTGCTGCCGAACTTGAGGTTCCTCACTCCAGCACGCCTCTAGAAGCTGAATCAACAGACCGTTTCAAGCAGCAGCAGCAGCAGCAGCAGCAGCAGCAGCAGCAGCAGCAGCAGCAGCAGCAGCAGCAGCAGCAGCAGGCAGAGGCGCTATACACTCAGTGGCACTGTGCCGAATCCCCTCGTGAAATCGCCAGCACCCACACTCGAAACACTCTCCGCATGTCCCCTGCCGTGTGCGAGGGAGTAGAGGCGTTCTCTCAGCACCACGTGCTGCCAGCCATGCTGCAGTGGTTGGAGGCGGGAGGAGAGCCGTGGAGTGGGTGGGAGGAGAATCTGCTTGCTTACCAGTGGGTATCGGAGGAGGAGGAGCGGGAAGTGGTAGAGGGGTATTCCCGGTGGATGCAGGGGAGAGCAGACAGAGGGTACTAGCTGCTGCAGCGCCTCCCTCCCCCCCATCGCTCCGCATGTCCCCTGCCGTGTGCCAGAGAGTAGAGGCATTCACCGAAGGCCACGTGCTGCCAGCCATGCTGCAGTGGGTGGAGGCGGGAGGAGCGCCGTGGAGTGGGTGGGAGGAGAATCTGCTTGCCTACGAGTGGGTATCGGAGGAGGAGAAGAGCGAAGTGGTAGAGGGGTATGCAAAGTGGATGCAGGGCAGAGCAGAGAGAGGGTACTGAGCCCCGTCTCCCAGCAGCACGAGCCAGAGAGTAGAGGCATTCTCCCAACACCACGTGCTGCCAGCAGTACTGCAGAGGGTGGGAGGAGAATTTTCTGGGCTACCAGTGGGTGTGTGAGGAGGAGGAGAGGGACAGTGGTAGAGGGGTATACTACGTGGAATCAGGGCCGAGCAGGCAGAGGGTACTAATACTGGCCCGCTTCTTCCAGCAGCACGTGCTGCCTGCAGTACTGCAGAGGGTGGGAGGAGAATCTGCTGGGCTGCCAGTGGGTGTGTGCTGAGGGGGAGAGGGACAGTGGTAGAGGGGTTTACCAAGTGGAAGCAGGGCCGAGCAAGCAGAGGGTAGGTAAGGTGGAAGAAGGGTGGGGGAGCAACCTGTGTGGAGCAGCTGGGAGAATCTGCTGGGTTACCAAGGGTGTGTGAGGAGGAGGAGAGGGAGGGCAGTGGTGGAGGGGTTTACCAAGTGGAACGAGGGCAGAGAGGGGGTATTGACTCTATTGAAGGGTGGAGGGGGGATCTGTGTGGAGCAGTGGGGAGGAGAACTTAATGTGGAAGGGAGGGCAGTGGTGGTGGATGGGTTTACCGGGTAGAAAGAGGGCATGGGTGCATGGAGAGGACGAGAAAAGAGAGTTGTGGTGGATGCAGGGCAGGGCAGGGCAGGCAGGGAGTGCTGCTGAAGCGGGGAGGAGAATTTGCTTACCCACAAATGGTTGTCTGGAGAGGACGAGAAGGGAGAGTTGTGGTGGGTGGGTTTTTGCAGGGGATGCAGGGCATTGCAGGCAGAGAGTGTTGATTTATTGATATCTCTGTGGGTAGGGTTATTGATGCTAACATCAGTCTCACCATTTGCACATGCACTACTTATTGCAACCGTGGCAGAATAGGGAGTTAGTGCAGTGCATGATTTGAAGTGATTTGACAAATCCAATTGTCGGCAGCAAGCAAATGTTCACCAGAGCAAATGGTACTAAACTCCATTATGTACAAAAAGCAAACACGTTGCTTACACCGTGTGAGGGGTCGGCTCTGGCAAACCCCTTCTAGAAATTCACTAAACGAGATACTGACATTGTGCCAGTAAGAGGAGGCAGCCTAGCTGGGTGTTCTACACTAACTTTATTTGCTTCGGTAAGTCGTAGAGCAGTAAATTGTAATGAGTTGTACAGTTTGTGTCAGTTGGAAGTTGCGGAGTAACACAGCGTGTCTGCTGAATTCGCTGAAGTTACCGCCTTCGTTGAGAATATTCATTGGCACGGGGATTCAAACCCTGCACTCAGGCTCACGTGCCTCCGCAGGGACGAATTCGCAAGCGCAGCAACTCGCGGAGTAGCGGCGGAAACCGTGCGCGGAGTAAGCGGAAGCTGACGCGCGCCTGGCGCAGCAACGAGCGGAGATCCGGGCCGAAGAAGAGCAGGCGTTTGCGCAAGGGCGCGCGGCGAAGCGGATGCGCCAGCCTGCGCGCGCGCGGAAGCATTGCGCGGGGATCTGTGTCGCGGGGAACCGCGCAACTGCGAAGGGCTACCGTGAGAAGCGGCGTTTCCACCATGACCCTGCACGCGTGGAGAGCACGACGTGGGTTCGTCGTAAAAGCTAAGATCTTCTTTCCAGGTTTGGTTGCCGGCCGTTGGATGAACTTCGAGCGACATATGCCGGAAAAGCTGCCGCGATTGGCACCTCGATCGATCCAGCGGCTCGACGCCATTCCGCGTCAGCCTCGGATCAGCGCCAGCGCCGCCGCCAGATGCGGCGTCACCGCCGCCAGCGGATCTTGCAGCAGATTTTACTGCGGATTTCACGGCGGATGCGGCGGCGGCTTCTTCTTGCTCTGCGAGCAGCGAGGATTGGATCATCTCAATGAAGCCTTGGCATCGGACGGCTGAGAGCTCTCGCTGGATTTGCAGCAGCTGCAGCTTGCCTTCCAGCGCCGCCATTTCAACCGCGCCGAGCGTGCTGCGGAGCGCGTTTGACGGCGCGATGTCGATTCCATTGTTCGGTGGTGTTTGTATGTGAGTTCTAATGCCAATGGCAGTCTGTGAAGCCATTTAAAGCTTTTGTATACATTTGCAAGTACTGTTTAGGGTTGTACTGTAGCCTGGGTAAATTTCGCCAGAACGAAACAACGGGGGTTGGCGAGAGGATTGGCAAAAAATTGCACCCCTGAGGAGTTCCTCACACGGGAAATTCCCCCGTCACCCAACCTTGCACTCACACGCACACTCCGAAGCATACTAAGCGTCTAATAACGTAGGCTCAGGGTTGAGAGAGGAACCGGGGCGCGTTCGAATAATACCCGGAGCATCAAAACCGCCCATACAGTCGCATCTGAGATGAGTTTAGGTACATTATAGGCTGGTCCCTGCGCTAAAATACTATCTAGCTTGCCCGCCAGCACCATTCCGCCGCAGCGGCGGAAAGCAATCCGAGTCGACGACGGAAAGGCTCCGCATTCATCTAGCGCGTCTTCAGTTTAGGCAGTGTGGTCTGGCCCGTCGAAGCCCTGTCAAGGGCGCCTCGACGGAGTGCATCACCACGCAGGGATTGATAATTCAGGCGTCGACGAGGGGATCGCATATTTCCCATGCGCCGTTCGCCCCGCCGCCCCTCTCAACACCCACTCGGTAGGCATTTCCCACTAAGCGCATCACCCACTGCGCGGGTCTCCCGCTTACCGCCTTCAACGCGAAGAGCCTCTCCCGCTTAGCGCCTCACCCTCTGCGCGCCATGCCAGCGTCTCACTCGCTGCGCGCATTTCCCGCTTAGCGCCTAATCCGCTGCGCGCCTCTCCCGCTTAGCTCCGCACCCGCTGCGCGCCCCTCCCGCGCAAAAAATCACCCGCTGCGGGCCTGTCGCGCGTACCGCCTCGCCCCCTGCGCGCCGGCACCGTGTGCCGCCTCGCCCTCTCCCGCTTAGCACCGCACCCTCCGCGCGCCTTCCCGCGTAGCGCATCCTCTTCTAATTACCCCTCCCTCGCCCCCTTTATCCCCCCTGCTCCCCCTCACTACCCCGCCTACTCCCCCTCCTTTTGCCTCCCTTCTCCCCCTTATTTGCCGTTGTTCTTCCCTCTCTTTCCCTCCTCCCCCTCATTATCCATCCTACTCCCTCTCATTTCGCCTCCAGCTCACACCGATTACCCCCCTTCTCGCCTTGAGTCGTTCCCCTACTCCCTGTCATTACCCTCCCTCCTCCTCCTCATGTTGCTCCCCGTCCACCCTCTCATCGCCCCCCCTCCTCCCCCTCATTTTACCCCCCTTCTCCCCCTCATTTCAGCCCCTTTCTCCCCCCCATATCCACCCTTCAGTTCTGCATTATCCCTCCTTCTCCTCCACCTTTTGCCCCTCTTCCACTTCTCATTTCCCCCCATTCTCCCTCTCATTACCCCCCCTTGTCCCTCTCATTTCACCCCCTTCTTCCCTGAGATTATGTACCCATTTTTCCATAACAAACCCGACCCAGATCGCTCACAAATCCCCCTTTTCTCCCTGTCATCCTCCCCCTTCCTTCTCCCTGTCATTACCCCACTACTCCCTCTCAAAGCCCCCTTGCTCCCTCTCAGTAACCCCACATTTCCTCCCTTGCTCCTCCCAACTCCCCCCCTTCTCCCTCTCATTTCCCCCTTGCTCACGAGGATTTTCCCCCTTCTCCATCTCAATTCCCCCCACCTCCCTCTCATTTCCCCCCTTCACCCTTGCGTTTCCCCCCATTCTCCCTCTCATTACCCCCCACCCCCCCCCCCCCCCCCCCCTCCCCCCCCTTTGTCCCTCTCAATTCACCCCCTTCTCCCCCTCCTTTATCTACCCTTATGTTCCTCTCAAATACCCCTGTTATCCCTCTCAGTTTCCCCCTTACTCCAGCTCATAACCCTCTTTCTCCATCTCATTTCCCCCACGTCGCTCCCTATCAGCCCCCCGAACCACCCCCCCCCCCCTGTCACCACCATCTTCCCCCCCATGCTCCCACTCATCGCCCTACCTTCTCCCCCACATGTCCCCCCTTTCTCCCTCTCATTTCCCCCCCATTCCCCTCTCATTTCCCCACATTGCCCCCCTAATTTCCAACCTTGCTCCCTCTCAGCCCGCCCCATTCTCGCCCTCATTTCCCCCTACTCCCTCTCTGTAACCCCACTGCTCCCCTTCATTTTCCCCCCTGCTCCTTTTCACTTCCCCCAGTTCTCCCCCTTATTACCACCCTTGCCGCCTCACACTTCCACCCTTTCCTCCCTTGCTCCCCCTCATCCCGCCCACTTCTCACCATCATTTCCCCCCTCTTCTGATCCTCATTTTCGCCCTTCCCCCTTCCTATTCGGACCTTGCTCCCCGCCATTTCCCCCCATGCTCCTTCTCACTTTCAACCGTGCTCCCCCTCAGTTCCACCCTTGCCGTCTCACACTTTCCCCCTTGCTCACTCTCATGTCCCGCCTTGCACCCTCTTGTTTACCCCCTTGTCCCCCCCTCGTCTCCCCCCTTTCTACCAGGCAGTTCTCTCCCTGCTCACACTGACATACGCCCCCTTCTCCGTCTCACTTCCCCCCACGCTCATCCACATTCCAGCCCTTCTCCCTAACATTTCCTCCCTTGCTCCTCCCAACTCCCCCCCTTCTCCCTATGCTTCCCTCGTATTTGATTGAACACCCCTTGCTATCCCAAATATATTCCTTTTACAACTCGCCAAAACATACCCACCGCGATCTAGCGCGCAAGCTTAGGGTTCTTACCCTGGTGAGACTCCGTCCAACTTCCCTTCCCTGCCTTGCCATCCCCCCAACCCTGCCCTTCATCGACTGCCATGCCCTTTCCCTACTGCCCTTCCCCTCCCCGCTATTGCCTTCCCTCTCTACACATGTCTCCCCGTACCTTAGTTCACCACTGCACTCTTGTCCACCCCATCTTCCCTCCCTTGCAGGGGCCCATTTTACAATAGAAAATATGTCAGCAGGGTGTAAGCCCTTATTTCCCATCATTACTATGGGTCTCTCTACTCCAATCCCTTCTTCCTCATACCTCCACATCAAGTTGTCTTCTCACCTCACATGCCATCACATCTACCGGTTATTCTTGGAGTCCTCCATGCCCTCCCATCTCATCTGCCCTCCCTTCCTGCCCCTTATTTGTAGGATGCCGCATTGACATGGTCGAAGGGACCGCGCATGATTACATACCCACCATGACGAGATCTCTATCCTCCTCCTATTCGTATCCCCCATTCATGCTCCGCCGCACCCATGCGCTACCCCTGCTTCCCCCCTCCATTCCATCCGCTGTCGGTACAGCAGGGATTCTCATCGGAGAGTGCAATTCATGGGGCATCCAAAAAAAATGTCTGTGGAGACATGGACAAAGAGGGTGAAGGAATTGGTGAAGGCTAAGGAACAGGGAAATCTGTCGATATCAAAGCACATGCAGATTCCTATTTGTTACTTGCGATGTGGCTTAAGTGCTCTGATGGGCGAGGGACGTACAGCAACGCTTTCAGACCTTGTGTACTTCCTGTTACACGCCGGCCCAGGGGCAACGGAGGCTCTTATGACAGCAGCGAAGAAGGCCGGTGAGTGCCAATGTACTCATGAGCTGCCAAAAGCCCACGATTGGTTTTG